AACCTTCTGAGGGAAGACGATTATACGCCTTCCACTCGTCCGTTACCACTATACTGCCTTTGGCGACCCATTTTGTAATAACGAAACTGAGATCCGGCCAACTTCGATCATTCATCTGTTCAAATAAGGCTTTCTGTCGGCTAGTAGCGTACATCCCCATCAGCCATCACCCATGAAACCCCTATTACCACCTGTCCCGTAGGACAGGCTGCTTTTGTTAGGCGGATTTTTTTGGGTGCCATCTCCCGATTGGTACCATAATTTGAAAAATTTGTCTAATTTACAGTGACCTGGGTAGGATGCCTCTTATGCACCAAAGGATCGGACAATGTTTGCTGTCTTGGGAAAAGCAGCTCTCTAACCCTAACGTAAAGTTTTCGCTACAGACGGGTTTACGTACATAGTTCGCAGTTCTACCATACAGAATCCAGATCAAAATGGGCTTGTCTTGCAAGCCAGAAACAAGGCAATATCAGTTATCCCTACAGCTGAGAAGCAAGCCGTCTGTAGCTGAGTGGTGGTAGGTCCAGTGGACTGGTGCACCGAATTCACGGCCTGGCAGCCTGCCAACGGAAATGCTAACGCGGTCTCTGGTTGACTCTGTGTGTAGAGCGTTTGTTTGGAGTGACGGACTGGTGGACTGACAGTCAGGCTGTAATGGCTTCTTCTTAATGTGGCCTCTACTGTATTGTCACCCCGTGGGGTCTGAGTCGGGTGTGGTGGCATGCCAAGGGGCAATTCCGGCAGCGCCAACCACCTGCGCCCTCTCCCACCTCTGGTCTCCTTGATTTCGTCGTGACACCGTAATCAGGTGGGGGGAGAGAGTGCGGTAGACGCTTCGTAAGTCTGTTACCACTTTAGACCAGTTCACGCGTAAGTCATCGTGCCCGCTCTCACCCTGTTGTGAAGCCTACGATGGACATACAGTAGGTGGGCTAACTCATGAAATGTCAACAAAAATTCCGAAATGCGTTTTCGTTTCGAAAAGATTAATTAAGTAGGGTTGTAAAACTAGCCAGCTTGCAACATAATTCTGTAATACTTCTGTTAGCACAGGATGCCGGCGTTCGAATGAATTTCGTTCCGGCTGCATGCAAAACTACACTCTGTAAAAACCGACTACTTAAGTAGCATGATTTTTTCTCATTGACTTTCGATGCCCCTAAAAGTCCAATTATATTTCATGAAAAACATGCATAAAAATAGTCATTCTTTTGCTCATTTGGTAGATAATTACGTCTTCTTCTAGTTTTATACTCGAAGGAGGGACATAATTCGGTTTAAAAAGTTTCAAATTGTGGAACTTTTAAATACCGTGAAATGGCCGTTCATAAATCGTCATTTCTCTGCATTTACCAATGTGGCCTGTAAAGTTAACAATACGGAGCAAATCCACTGCTAAATTTTATGAACCCTATATGGTGCCCCTTTAGTACCGTAGAGAAATGTGTGGTTTTCTGTACGCCGAAAATATACTGCTTGAAATTTGGATACCCTGAATCCAATTGTAACGCAAGGGCAGGTTCAAAATTATTCGGGAATTCAAAAAGTTTTTGGAAACCAAATTATACCCTTCCTTCGAGTATAAGATTGGAAGAAGACGTAGTTATCTACCAAATGAGCGAAAGAATGAACATTTTTATGCATGTTTTCCATGAAATATAATTGCATTTTCAAGGGCATCGCAAATCAATGAGAAAATTGCGTGCTTCTTAAGTAGCCACTGTTTTACAGAGTATGATTATTGCATGCAGCCGGAAGGAATTTTATTCGAAAGCCGGCGTCCTGAGCCAGCTGAAATATTATCGAAGTATTTTGCATGCTGACTAGTTTTATAACCCTTCTTAATTAATCTTTTCGAAACGAAAACGCATTTCGGAATTTCGGTTGACATTTCATGAGTTAGCCCATCTGCTGTAGTCGACATCAGTGGCCGAACAGTCAGTGAAAAGTCCATAAAGCAAGAAGTCGGGAGGCCAATCAGTCAGTGTCGTCTGTGAGTGCAGGTTTTCTGGACTGTTTGAGCCCATAGCGGAGCCGTTAGAAATTCTCCACCAATTTTTGCCTCATTAAATTTAAGCACAGCTAGGCCTGTTTCAATAAAAAGGAAATATCAGTTACAATTAAGGCAATAAGACTGCGCAACTACTCAAAAGTCGAGTACTTTCAGTTCGAATCATTTTCTCGCCACGGAAAAAGGGCAGAAAGTGCGCGATTGTTGTTCCTTCCTAGTAATCAGGAGACCGGACACGCGCTTCACTTATCATCAAAATCCGCATTGATTACCCATCAGAGTTCAGCTCTGCGGTTGCTGAAGGAGCGTGCAGGTTTCATTGCATAAACTCCCTGAAGGAGTTGTGTGTATTTTGAGCATTGTCATAACATGGTTCATGCTGCCTTCTGATTCTAAACGCAATCCCACTATTTCCCACGGCTGATGATTCTTGAGCACCACATACATGATCTAGAAGACGAAACCAACGGTTGGTTATCCGGACACTAGAGAACTGCGCTCGGGGGGAGGGGGTACAAAAAAATATCAGCCTTTTCTCCCAGCATAGTTGTACATTAGTCTGTCAAAATCAGTTTTTTTTACGAGTGTGGTTATGCGTGCTCAGGACGCCGTTGTGACGTTTGTTTCCTTCCGCTTGTCCTGGACTGCGTTTACGCCACCAAAGTCAAGGTCACCGTCTGCTTTCAGACCGCACCTAAAATATGCAGAGATTGCAGTTGTCGCGAACTACTTTTTGAACTATAGGAGAAAAAGGTAGTCTATGTTAGTCGGAAGTGGATTTTGCAATTTTCGTGCCTTTTACTGAGATCTGGAATCTGAGCGTATTCCTCCCAAGTGATAAGTGCAATCAGCAATCACAAAGAGGACGGTAAAAGAGTTCACCTAAAAGTATGTGCTGTATGGTTTTGAAAGTTGCAATCCTGTCATTTAAACTCCGGCAAAAGGGCTCATCAGATTTGCAAAATAATGAAACAATAAGAACATACCCAGTCGGGTTTCATAGTTCCAGCGACCGAAGAGGACGAATCCAGATCTGCAAAACCTGGAGAAGAAATAGAAGAAGAAGAAGAACAAGAAGAAGAAGAAGAACAAGAACAAGAACAAGAAGAACAAGAACAAGTACAAGAACAAGAAGGAGTAGGAGGAGGAGGCCGTTGTTTCTGTTTTAACAGTCCAAATTAGTTGTGTCTGTCGGTGTTCGGGTGCGCATGTGGTTTTTGCATGCCCTAGTAACAGACTTTTAAAATGGCCGTTGCAATTCTTGGCAGAACCAAGGTCGGCATATACAGTAGGTGAGCTAACTCACAAAATGTCAACCGAAATTCATACTGCGTTTTCGTCTCGAAAAGATTAAGTAAGAAGGGTTGTAAAACTACTCAGCCTGCAGCAAAATTCTATAATAATTCAGTTACCTCAGGATGCCGCCTTCGAAAGAATTTCTTTCCCGCTGCATGCAAAAACTATACTCTATACAAAACGGCTACTTACGTAGCATGTTTCTCGTCGATTTTCGATTCAGTTATATTTCATGGAAAACGTGCGTGAAAATATTCGTCCTCTTGTTTATTCGGTAGACAATTACATCTTTCAAGTTGATGTTTGAAGGAAGGGCACAATTCGGTTTCAAAAAAGTTCCTATTTTTGGGATTTTTTAATACCGTGAAATGGTCGTTCAAAAAATGTCCTGTTTATGCATTTACCAATGTGGCCTGTAAAGTTAACACCATGGCTCAAATGCACTGCTAAATTTTATGAACTCCAAATGGTCTCCTCTTTATACCACAGAGAAATGTATGGTTTTCCGTACGCGGAAAATATAGGGCTAGTAGTTTTGAAACCCTGAATGCAATTGCAACGGCGACTCGTACTCAAAATTATTCGGGAATTGGAAAAGTTTTTGAAAACCGATTTATATCCTTCGTTCGAGAAAGAAATTGAAATAAGACGTTATTTCCTACCGAATAATCAAAAAAATTAATATTTTGTATGCATGATTTCTATTTAAAAAAATTGTCGCATTTTAAGGGCATCGAAAATCAATGAGAAAAATGCATGCTACGTAAGTAGTCGTTTTTGCAGTGCTTGGTTTTTGTATGCAACAGAAAGAAGCTTTTGCGAAAGCCGGCATCCTGAGGTAACTGACTTATTATAGAATTATGCTGTCCGATGATTAGTTTTACAACCCTACTTCATTAATCTTTTCGAAACGAAAACGCATTTGGGAATTTCGGTTGACATTTCATGAGTTAGCCCACCTATTGTATGGAAGAGGAAGAAGAAGACGAGGAAGAAGACGAGGGAGAAGACGAGGAAGAAGAGGAAGATGATGATGAGGAGGAGGCGGAGGAGGAGGAGGAGGAGGAGGATGAGGAGGAAGTGCGGGAGCGGCAACAGGAGGAGGAGGAGGATGAGACCGTTGTTTTTGTTTTACCAGTCCAACTTGCTTAGTTTTGTCAGTCGGTGTTCGGGTGTGAATGTGGCTTTTGC